TAACTAAAGATTATTTAATGCACGACTACCATTAGTATATAAAAAAAGTCAGGTTATGTGTCATTGATAGTCGACAACAAGAAAAAAAAATACTTGGGAAAGTAATTTATTTCTTATTTTTCATGTTTATTCTTTATTTATCATTATAAAAGTAATAAAATGTAAAAATATGGATATCTTTAGGTTAGTTAAGGTTAGATTAGGTAAATAAATAATAATAATATATTAGAAATATTTCACGAGGCTTGCATGCGAGCTGCATGTTTCCCAAGTGATTTACAACTTGTAATTGAGCAAATAGTTAGACACGATTCAAAGGGCAATAAAACAATACAATTTAATTATAAATAGATGTATACTGTTGCAAGTTTAAAGCTCCTTAAGATTAACGAATGTAGTTTCATGTTATATTTGAAGTCATTTAGGTTTATTTAGACTTTTTTTGGTGGTTATGAGGTCAGTCAAATCGACCAACTACGTCTAGAGTTAGGGTATAGAAAATAACAGATAAAATATAAAGTTTTACTGAAAACAAGCATTTGAAATGTATTTAGGGGGTTTTAGAGATTACACAAATGAAATTTGAGATGAAGAAAAGTATTTTGAAGTCATTCTAGAAAGAAAAAAGGGTAATTTAGGTTTATTTAGGTTTTTTTTGGTGGTTACGAGGTCAGTCAAATTGACCAACCACGTCTAGAGTTAGGGTAGAGAAAATAACAGATAACATTTTCCTGAAAACAAACATTTGAAATGTATTTAGGGTGTTTTAGAGATTACACAAATGAAATTTGAGATGAAGAAAAGTATTTATAATCTGAACATGAAAATTACTTTGCACACAGATTATTCAACACAAATACTTGATATATTCAAGGACAAATCTTTTTTTAGTTTATTAAAAATGATTTTTTGTATGTGAATGACATAATGTTTACTGAAAGACTGCCAAATTTCGAGAGGATGTGCACACTATATTAAAAGTTAGTAGTATCAGATTATTCAACACAAATACTTGATATATTCAAGGACAAATCTTTTTTTAGTTTATTAAAAATACTTCACTAAAAATGATTTTTTGTATGTGAATGACATAATGTTTACTGAAAGACTGCCAAATTTCGAGAGGATGTGCACACTATATTAAAAGTTAGTAGTATCAAATCTATAAAGATTTTGAATGAGTACAAAGAGGTCACATGGTTGGTCAAATTGACCGAGCCTGTGTTGAGAGAGCTAAACACGTGCGTTTCCACTTCACTTTTATTATTTTTTCCCACTTGTACATGATAATATATATGCTGAACTTGTACGATATAAGTAACTAAGGTATCTAAGTGACTTATCACTCGTGTCACATGTGCCACATTTCAACACTGATTTTCTTAAAGAACAGATTCCAACAAGGTACCTTACTTCCTCTCACATACATAGCTATTCTTGTTCAATGCTGTCCTCTATTTGTAAATTTGTTTCGCATGCCACAAGCCTTTTATTCCTACATACCCTCTAGGTTCACATGGTTTAACTGATTCTTGCATCAAATTATTATGCAATAAACCTCCACCAATGGACATGCCTCATACACACGTGACTCATGTGACTACCTCTATGCTATTCTACCTAACTGTCACTTTTCATTTGGCAGTGCTTGTATTAAGACATGTTATTTAGTGCTCTCTCACTCAAATTTGAATTTTCTTAGCATTTATTTCAAGTTTACAACCTATATTTCCCATTTTAATATTTAGTAGTGGTATTATCTCACTTGCAAAACCCAGATATGAAAATTAATTAATTTTTTGTGTTTGCCTTTCTTTGCCAACACAGTTGTGTTTGGTTTACATTATGAATTCCGAAATAAATGTTACCACGCTGGAGGCTGTACCATTTACCAGCACATTTACTCAGGCTTGAGATGGAGTAACTTGACTTTGGAATTATTTGTTGAGAGATTGATCATTATATGAGCCAACCTTCTTCTCCAGATGTTGCCCAACGTCCTCTTGAACAGGCCAAACCTGTTCGGGACAACAACGCTTTTGACAGCATTGGTTAGTTTAACACCTCCTGAACTTATTCTGCTCAAAGATATACAGTGCTACCAACAAGACTGAAATCAATGAAGCATCTGTTTTGTTTATGTATGAGTTTAGAAATACATGGATGCATAATTTTACTTATTATAGCTCACTATCAGTCTCATTAAGAGCTATGTTACATTCATATTCTTACACCAGTTTAAGCTTATTAATAGCTTATTAACTGAGGAGGTTGAAGTGCCTGTGCATTTTTTGCTAGTTGATTATAATATTTTCTGTGTTAGATATACATTAAGACCAGCAGTTTTTGCTTAATTTGGGTTTGCACTATGATGTATTTTTTATTTGTTTGTATTTGTGATGTGATAATATATTCTTGTTTTGGGCTACTAATAGTAGTTGGGACGTGGTAACAACTTCAGTTCTTATCCAAGATGCCTGTAAAAAGTTCTTCTGGTATGACAACATCTTCTCTTGTCACCCGAGACTGCAAAAACATTTTCTGTTGTTATCCAAATGTGCTGTTTATAGTTATAATGTGGTATTATGTTCTCATTCAAACTGATTGATGACCATAGTTATAATATGGTAATATATCTTCCCATCCAAGCTGACTATTGATAATAATTGTTGTGTGTGTGTGTGTGTATTTTTTTTTCCAGGTTTGATGAAAACAGTAGCTTTGTTACCCTGTTAAGTTTTTCTTGTTGTGATTAATAGCTGTGGATGTGATATAATAAAGTAATTTGTTATCATGCACTAATGTCGTTTTGTTCTGCAGGGTTGTTGGAAGCTCAAAGCTTCGGAGAAGCTTTTGTTAACACTGTTTCTTTTGTGTTGTCGGGATACCAAACAGTCGGGGTTATCTGGTAAATATCCTTTTTTTTTTCTAATCAATGATTTAGGCAGTGTATTCATGATGAAACAGAGTTTGCAACAATCACTAATTGCCTTAAAAGATAGCATAACTTTATTGAAAGGGCTTTAATAAAGAAGGGTAAGGTGGCAACTTTGCAAGTCCTGAAGGTGGAAGGCTTTTGAAATATCATCACTTTGGCTTTTATTATTGAAACCCTTTAGTAAAGTTCTGCCACCTTGTAATTAGTATCCATTTTCACCTTTTTCGTTAATTGCTTTTTTAATAAAGATTATGAAGTAAAACTACCAGTAATTAACCTGTAAGTAATGATATTAATTAAGCTTTGTTTTAAGAAAGAAATTCGTGTTGTTAAAAAAATAAAAAAATAACTTTGAGTTACTCTTTACTAAGTGTATATAAAATTACTAAACTAACAGAATGTTTTTAAGATCTTTTATTTTTATAGGCCTCCTAGTGTACCTTTAAAACCTATTTTTCAGAATCTTAATCTTTAAAGCCTATATAATTTCTTAAAGAGCATGTAACAGCCTGTTTTGTGATACTTCAGTCTGTTAAAAAAAGTATATTTGCAGAAGTAGAATTTTTTGGTCTTCGTTTCAATGTAAAATTCAGTTTAATAGAAGAATCGATAAATGGCTGCTTCAGAGACATCATGTATGAAGTTCAAAGAGTGAGTTTTGAAATGAATATTTGCAGTTACAAGTTAAGAAATAACATCCTCAATTGCTAGGTTGACAAGAAACAACTGTTTCAAGTGTATACCTATATTTGATTCTGTAGGACTTAATTAAGATATAGCACCTCCACAAGAGAGATTATTCTAAAAATATCCTGTATTTCAGTCAACATCAGCCTGATATTTGTCAAATTTAGCCTTCATTTTAAAAGCTGGCAGCAGTAGACTCTGCTGGTAGGCCTGCTCTTATATTGTTTGGAGTTGGTTACATGCATTTAAATATATTAATGTATTTTTTGGCTTTTTATCAGTTTGTATTGAATTGTTATTTATTATTTGTTTAAGTGTCTTAGGATGTGGGTCTACAGTAAAGATTAGATAGCTATAAAGTTCCTGTTAAATTGCAGTTTTGTAATTCAAAATGTGGCATTCTCAGTGTTCCATAATAGAGGTTTTGTTACATTGGTGAGGATTATTTTCTTTAATTGTGGATTTTTTGTAGTTATAGTATGGATTTCTTGTTGTTAGATATGGTGTATTCCTGATGATGAGTATGTTGTTAAGATGTAGCATTCTGTGGTTAAGCTGTGTAGTATCTGTAGTTATGATGTTAAGGTGATGAGTAGTTCTTGTAGCTAAGATGTAAAATACTTCTATTTGTGATGTGGAGTTACATAATTAAGAGGCATAATTTTGTTGCTAACATATGAAGTTTCTTGTGGTTAAGTAAGGTGACGAGTTTTTTTAGTTAAGATGTAAAGTAGCTATATTTATTATCTTGAGTTATATAAACTAAGTTGCAAAATTCTGTTGCTATGATATGAAATTCCTGTAGTTGTGTTGTGTGGTTCTTGTAGTTTATATAATGAGGAACTTTTGTAATTTCGATATGGAATTCCTTGGCTATGATGGGAAGGTTTTGAAAGTATGATGAGCAGCTGTTGTATTTATGATGTGGAACTGCTGTAGTTCATTAAATAATGATCTATGTTTACAGTTATTATAGCAGTTCTGTAGTTATTGTGAACAGTTGTTGTGGTTATGGTGCGAACTTTTTGTTAAATTATAGAATTCTTGTAATGTGGTAGTTTTGTATATATTTATGATGTGGAACTGCTGTAGTTCATTAAATAATGATCTATGTTTACAGTTATTATAGGAGTCCTGTAGTTATTGTAAACAGTTGTTGTGGTTATGGTGTGAACTTTTTGTTAAATTATAGAGTTCTTGTAATGTGGTAGTTTTGTATATATTTATGATGTGGAACTGCTGTAGTTCATTAAATAATGATCTATGTTTACAGTTATTATAGGAGTCCTGTAGTTATTGTGAACAGTTGTTGTGGTTATGGTGTGAACTTTTTGTTAAATTATAGAGTTCTTGTAATGTGGTAGTTTTGTATATATTTATGCTCTCCATTTGAAGAACCATTGAAAGAGAAGGTATCAAGTACTTGGCAGACAGGTGTGCGTGAACTGGTTCTTCAGAATGGAGGGTTTTCTTCAGAAAATGGCATGCTGCAAGAAGCTGTGAGACACCTAAAGAGTCTGGTCACACAAGAAGTGAATTCGATGAAAAGGTATAGTTGTTTTGCTTATCTTGTGATAAACATGTGATTCAAGAATGTATTCTTTGTCTTTTAAAAATGTGATTAAACAGTTTAGCATAAGAAATTGTTGAGTGTTTTTATTATTTAATAGCTGGCATATTTAGGATAACATCGGCTTCATGCCTTCAAAAATTACTGATTTTCTCTCAAGAAATATTGGTGTTTGTCTTGTGAGTTTTATGCATACAGCTAATCATATTTTATAAAAATCATATTCCAGGTTTCATCTTGCACTTGTAACTAACTACTTTCTCCGTTGTTGATCTTGCTCAGCCTAATGGCCTATTGTCTGATGCTGTAATTTTCTTTGCAACAAGCTTTTGCAAAGAACATAGGCCTTGACCTTCTAAGATCACGTTTAAGTGACATAAATGTACTGAAGATGATGGGTATTCAGGCAGACAACTACTCAGGTATTTCTGAGAAGGGAATATTATTAATTCCATTTTCATTATCCATTGTTCATGCTGCTGTAGACCTAGATATGTGAATGGATATTTTAACTTGATTTTCTGATATTCTAGCCAAACAATGCAGGAAATTCATCTCACTAATCAGTGTCATTATGTTCTCCTGTTAATCATTATATATTTTGTGAAATATATATAGTTTCCCCTTATATAGAAAATGTGAAGCAACCAGAAATCCCAGCAACAACAAAAAACGTTCTTGCATTATATATTATGTTTGCAAAGTCCATATCACCTTTAGAAAATTATTTATTTCTTGCTACAATCTTTCAAGTGCATTTGGTCTTCATTTACTGTTGCAACAAACTTTAAACTGTCACGTGCAAGGTATTTTGATAACAGTGCTAACACATGAAGATTGTAATCCAGAAACCCTCAACCCCACCATAAAAATGACTGTTAACAAGTTGCATATATCCCAGTCAACTGTGAACAAAATAACTGATAAAAACCATGCCTTTGTAAAGAAGCATAAGAAGAGATACATAAATTTGAAAACTATTAAAAAAGTTCTGTGTGGTGGAATCCAGTTTAGATGGCTTTCATATCCTTATTTGCTTTTCACTGTATTAGATTGTCATATCTGAAATTGGTTTTTCCAGCTTTTTAACTTTATGCTATCTTGATACAAGAATATCCTTTCCTACAAAGAGCTACAAAAATCTTTCTAGTTAAATATTTGGGAATTCACTGTGAACCAAAGATACATATGCTAAAAATTTCACCCATGGCATCATGTTTCACTTCTGTGATGGCAAACTAGTGCATTACAATATACAGATCATTCTTTTGAAGTGCAATTAACCTTCTGTATTGAGGAATGCTGTTCAGAAAAATGTTGATGTTTGTTTTATAGCATGTTACTACTTAATGTAAAGTGTCAGTTAAGAAGAATATTAATGTGTGTTTTAAGAATGATATTTATGACTGCCAATTTCAAATATTGGTAGATGATTATAGTATAGAATTGATGAGTCTTCAGAACAGAATTGCTGGTTGCTGACATATTATTGATGAATGTCACTTCAAGAAATTGTGATGGATATGTCGCTGAATGCTGATGAGCATTTCAATAGAAGAGTATTAATGTGTGTCTCTTAGAAGCAATATAAATTAATGTCACATCAGAATAATAATAGTGGTGGTGTTTCAGATGAATAGCATGGGTGTATTTTCTGTTTTGGATAATAATGATGAGTCATATAATAATATTGATTTTGATGTTTCCAAAACATACATCCTCTCACACTACAGCTATTACTCTACAGCCAGGATTTCCTTCCTCTACCTATCTAAGCATTGGTCTAAATTTTTCTCACTTGTTCCAGTCTTTTATTCCCCACTTAATTGCTCATGATGATATCTGTTATGCAATGCTCTCCACCTATGTAAATGTGCCGTCTATCCTCATACTTTATGTAAGCACCTCATTCAGATAATATTATAACTTTTTCCTGACAAAGCATTCACAAATGTGTTTCTCTGTACTATCGTGGAGATACTTTGAGCATTATTTGTGTTACCTTTCTTCCAATTGGCAAGCCAATAATTCAGCATGAATTCACAGATTATTATTTCCGAACACAGACAAATCAGGTCTCTTCTATCCCACCTCTGATATCTATCATTGTTCAAATATCAGAGGAGGGAGGAGTCACTCTTAGTTGAGACTGTCAGTGGTCTTATTCCTAGTGAGATGGAGACATGTATTCAGTTCAGTAGTGTTCCTCCAGGGTGCTCTGAGGCTGCAGTTACGGACAATCTGGAGAGAATTTAGATTTGTTTTTTCTTCATCTTGCTTTATTCTGTTGGCTTCTCAAGAGGCCACTTTGGGATCGGCTGCCTCGGGTTCCTTTTCTTCAATTAGTCCATTGATTGTTATGTTTTGGGTCTTTCCCCAGTTGCTTATGAGCTTGTACCTTCCTTGACAGATGAAAGATCAGGGAACGAATAATTAATTCTCCCTCCATCCACTGATATTGTGATTCATGCTGAGTCATCTATTTTTGCTCTAACACAATATATCGTCAGGCTAGGTATTTTTTTCATCACATATCTGAGTTCGGCTCAGCCGACTCCCATCCAGCTCCAAGCTGTGGAACAGGAAGTTTTGACTCTTTTTCACCTCTCCTTCTCCCACCATGTGGATGTTTTTTTCTCTTTTTGGAATGTGGGCTTCACTTGGATCCCTCATTCCTTTGGGACGAGTGCACAAGAGATCCCTTCATTGGTCTTTATGCGACCAATGGATCACGAACAGTGATTTACTGGATTCTCTAGTTTCCTTATTCAGGATCATTCTCTTCGAGGGGTGGTTAGATTGGAACAGTACTAAGATATAGTTTCCTCTGCAGGCACCTCATCCAGAGATCCATCTCTTCATGGATGCCTCACTTCAGAAATGGGGTACATATATCAATGGTCAGGAATTCCAGGGTCTACGTACGGATGACGAGACTAACCTACACAATCTTTTAGACCTTCTTGTTGTTCAAAAGGCGATGTCTCATGGTCTCGGCTTATTAAAGGGAAAATCATCAGGCTTCACTTCAACAATTCCATGACAGTGTCTTGCATTTCCCATCAAGGAGGCACTTGGTCCATGGCTTTTTGTTTTCAAACCTTGGTACTTGTTTCTCGGTACCACTCCTATCATATCACCCTACTAGCTTGACATGTTCACGGGTGATAACTTTGGTGGTAGATCAGTTGTCTCGACCGAAACAGATTCTCCCAATATAATAGATACTGCATTGCAAGGTTTTTCTGTTGGATTGGCTCTCATTTTGAAAAACTGATTATTGGTGTGCTGACCACTGATTGGAACACACAACTACTGGCAATTTTGTCTCTGGTACCTCACCTTCAGGCTTTGGCAATGGATGCATTCTGTTGGGATGGGATGGTATTACAACTCTAAGTCTTTTCTGTTGTTGGGTCTTGTTGATAGCACCAGATTATCAGCTAAACCCTGGTTTCTTATTCTTCGGTACCTTCAGGAGTGCCCACCTCTTCCACTTCCTCTTTGGAGGCAGCCATTATCTGACATCATACACCCAGCTATCCAAAAGCTCAAACTTCAGGCATGGAGGTTGTGGAGTCCTTTGCATGGTGTCAGGGTTTAATTTTAGTGGTTGCCATGTATCTGTCTCAGTCTTTGCTTTAGTCCCATCATTGACATTTATCAATAGATGGCACACATATTAACAATGATGTATTGAGAGAAGTTTAAACCCACTTTGATCAGAAGTGTCAACCATAACTTGTTTTTTTGACCTGGCTATTTGACAGGGGTTTTGCATCTTCCACAATTGCCCTGTATAAGGTGGCCTTATCGACTACCTTTCAATACTCAAGCCAAAAAATTCTTTGAGTCCCCAGTACTCTCCAGCTTCCTCATGTCATTTTGGGTCCTTCATCTCAAATGACAATTTCCGTTACCTAACTGGTATATTAAGGTGACATTACTTGCCCTTTCTCAATAC